AGGTTTTAAACAAAAGCACATCACTTAAAAGGGAGGAAAGAAAAAAAAAAAAAAGGAAAAAGGAGGTGGGGAGGCACTCAGCAAAGGTCCCTTGGTCTTTGGATTGCATTCCTCCCCAACCCAGAACACACTCAGTGGACTTTTCAAGCACGTACACTGCAGAACTTAAAATATCTTTTTATTATTTCCATCTTTTTTTAAATAAGTCATTCACTGTTACACTACCCTGGTGATAGCTCAGTTTACCTTAACTTGTAAGAGCCAAAGATATTTACGGCCTTGTCTCTTGGAACAATTCTAGACATCTCTAGCAGTGGTGAAAGCTCCAACGGAAATACAAGGAACTTTGCACAGGCTTTTGGGGAAACTCAGATACGAAGAGAGATTACCATGTTTGAGACGCACAGAAGATAAAGTCACTTTAATCTGTCATCCAACTTACTTGCTATTACCGCATTTTCTCTTTTTTTTTTTTTTTTAAACATGATGCATTATTTGCCATTTTCCTTCATTATGATTTGTATCAGGATAGGACTGACACCATTCCACATAAGGCTAGAAGATCACTTCTGATAAACATCAGAGGAGCCAGAACTTTTTTTTATATATATTCACATAAATAAAATAATCCCAGCACAGTGCTAATACAAGCACCTTCCTAACATGCAAGAAAAAAGTATGTCTTTCAAAAAGTACGGAAGATGCTATCACTGTCGACTTCTCGTTTACAAAGTAACCCTCACAGGCATCTTCAAACTAAGTGGCATTTACACAGTTCCTTGCAGGAGTGGAAAACAGAAATGGCTATAATCGCAGGAAACACAATGCGGGTAGTAAACCATAACAGAAGATGCGCTGTGTCTTGATTTAATTCAGCTCAAATCTCCCAATACCAAAACAGATTCCAAAAAAAAAAAAAAAAAAAAAAGTCACGCTAGCTACAGCTATTTGAAACAGGTAAGTCGAGAAGCTAGTTGCCAGAGAAGCCAGGAACACGTTTCTTAACGATTCCAAAGCTACACCTCTCCCAAAGCAACACCTCTCCCAAAGCAATTTATTTTTTGATTAAATACAGCAATTTTTGGCACACCACCCAGGTTGAATGCTCATAAGGACAGAAGATATGATTGAGCAAGCTAGAGGTTTCTTCAGTACAGCTTTTCTTTGGGGAGGGGGGAATATATGAACAAGAAAATCTATCCAGTTATTTAACAAACCAAACCTTCACTCTATTCCAGAAAATGTCCAAAACGTTCTCAAATAAGAGAGAACAGTGCAAGCTAGAAGTAAAACAGCATTTTGATGCAGAACTCCTCCTTTAAAAATCAAACCCAACAGCTTTTTTCTGCTATTTAAAGAATACCCTCACGTTGAGGAGGGCTGTAAGCATGGCAGAAGCTACTTCTCTTGCAACATTTTTATTTATTGGGTTGCATAAAATAAGTTATATTAAGGACTGCTTTGACATTTAACACGCATCAGTGCAAAACTGTAATTTCAGATCAAACATACACCCTAAATCCTTTTTTAACCTTTTCACATCCAAGAAAAGGATTGTCCTATTTATGTTTTTTCCCAGAAACTTTAGTCTCTTAAAGCCAGAGCAGTGTAAAACCAAACAAAAATGATTAAAAGAAAAGCAGGATTCTTTTTTTTTTAGGAGTTATTTCTGACTGATTGCATTATATGCCAGAAGCAAGTTAATCTTGTGTGTAACTGCAGGAGTGCTGCTTCCCCATTATTTGACGATGCCTAACGCACCCAGGGAAACAACTCCGTGCAGATCAGCGTTACTGACCCAGAGCAGCACGGCGGTTCGCTGAAAGAGCTCTCCGAGTTTGCACCTGTTGCCTTGGAGGCCTGGACTGGGCTTTATTTATCAATAATTCACACCGTAGCCCTCAGAAACTCTGCCCTTTTTCCATTAAGGAAGCAGCCTCAGTATCAACCGGGGCAGCTTCCAGAAGATTTAATCCAGCTCTTGGAGGGTGCAACACAGAATTGGCTTATCCACACGCGGGTGCGCAGTTTATCGCTCCTTCCCCCCTTCCCCTTATCGCTCAGCGAAGCAACTTCGGGAGCCGGATGAGCGATCTGCTGAAGGAGAAAAGGGGGGAAGGGGCGGCCGGGGAGGAAGGAGGCAGCCCTGGCCCGCGACTAAACCCACATTTTCTCCCAGCACAGAGCGCCTG